GACATATAACTACAAACTATGTAACTATGACAAATTGCTTAATCTCTCTAAGCTTCAGCTTTTTCAGAGAAAGAGGGGGAGAGAGGAGGGAGACAGAGAGAAGAAGAAAAAGGAGGAGGAGGAGGATGACAATTGGGAAGGAGGGTTGGTGTTAGGGAGAGAGAAAACCTCTCTCATTCAAAATGAAAACTAAAAATAAAAACCACCTTCCTCTCTAGCTATTGATTTGTTGCACCCCTTTCCATTCACCACCAGGTTTCTTATAAGAGATATTCTTATTACGTGCTTTTATATCCTTGTGACTACCATTTACTCCTTAACACACTGTAATTTATTCTCTGCTTTCTCCCTAACTCCCTCTCAAAAATGCTTTTCCCATGTTCCTCACACTGCCTTCTTAATTGCTGTTAAGTCAACATTTTTTTGTCCTAATCTTTCATGGCTTCCTGTATCATTTGTCAAATCTATCACACCTTCCTTGAAATTCTCTTCTCCCTTGGTTTTCATTCTTCAGTTTCTTCTCTCACCCCACTGGCCATCACATCTTGGTGTTCTTATTCTCCAGGATTTTCTCTTTGGCTTTCGCCTCTCCTTGTTGCACACCTACTGTTTGGCTGTTCTTAACTATTTCCATGGATTTGATAACTTGTATGCTGCTACTTCTCAAATGCCTACTTTCAGTCCAGATTACCCACAGCTTTAGTCTTATTTTCCATTTCTCTGTTGAACATTACCACCTGGCTATCCCACAAGTACCTCTAACTCAACATGTCTAGAGCCAAACAACTCACAACCTCCTTCAAACCTCTTCCTCCACCCCCTCCGCCAACACCACCAATCTTGATGAGTGGCACTTCTATCTACTCAGTCACCTAAGCCAGAAAACTGGGAGTCATCCTTGACAACTCCTTTATCCATAGCTCTCAGATCAAATCAATCACCAAGTCTTGTTGAGTCTATCTTTCAAATATTTCTGAAATCTATCCTTCTTTTATCCTCCTTGACATTATCTTTGTTCAGCTTTCGATTCCATCATCATTTCCTAACCTCTACACTATGGTCAATTTGACCTTTTCAAAACATAAATTTGTTTATGACATTTCCTTGCTTTGAATCCTTAAATAGCTCCCTATTGTCTTCAAGAAAAAGTCCACATTCTTTAAATTGGCCTCTGAGAGATTTTTCTGCTCTGGCCCCTGTCAGTGCCTCCAGTCTCTTCTGTCATCATTCCCCTCACTCCCCTAAATGCACCCTGCATTTGGCCATGCTGGTCCACCCACAAATCCCTGAACCCAATAACTCATCCTGTCTAATGCTCTGTGCTTTTGCACATGTTGTTCCTTAGCTTTTAAATGTCATACTCTGACCTCTTCCATCCTGCTCATCTGTCAAGACTCTAACCAGATATCATATTTTCTATGAAGCCTTCTCAAATTCCTGTCACCCTAACATCCAAACAGATTTGGGTTCTCCAATAATGTCATGTATGTATCTCTGTATTTGTATTTGTGAGATTATAGTG